CAACTTGGAGTCCAGCGCTTGCGTGATCGTGTCCGCCATGGTGTCGAGCGCGATCGACACAGTCGTCGACCCATCGGTTTGGCCCAGTACTGCCTGGTTGATGGTCCCAACCAGTGTCGTCAGCATTGTGTCCAGGCGGCTTTGCAGCACTCCGTCCAAAGCCGCAGGTAGGGCATCTTGTAGCATCTGCGGGAGCAGCTCCCCCAACTGTGCAGCGAGCGAGCCCTCCGTACTCGTAGGCCCCGGCGACAAGGTAGTGCTAGTGGGCGCGACCATGTCTCGCCCGTCAGCATCTCTTGTTGGCTGCCCCCCTGGTAGCGAAGGAGCCGTAGATCATCATGGCCATCATCATGCATACAGCCGCTGCTGCCCATTGCCCCGGCCCGCCTGCTTCTCCCATCGTCTGTGCGACGGCCGTCATCTGAGCAGTCACTGCATCCATGCTGGGGTCGGACACGGTGGGATGGCTGCAAGTGTTGGGCCACTACGGGTGTGTGCTTTGAACAGCTGGGCTACATGTGGGCAGCATCCGGGCGGTGCAACTGAGCACTTTCACTTGTTCTGAGCGGTCGCCCATTGTCATGGACAGTCTTTCGGTGTCTTACACACCTACGCAGAGTAGAAACTACCTAGGGTTTCGACTCACACACTCGCACAAGGGTTTAGGGTTTAGGGGTTTAGGGGTTTAGGGTTTAGGGTTTAGGGTTTAGGGTTGCGTTTCAGTTGGTATCCTGGCTTCCGGCTATGCTCAAGATCAACATCGACTCACGAGTGGGCTTCTGTAGCACTGTAGGATTCTCATTAAGCTCCACGTCTCAAGAGGTCAAGCCACGTTCTGGCGAAACGCCAGTTTTAAGGCTTTGGGTTGAGCTGTGGAACACCTTGTGCTCGCCTACGGCCAAAGCGCCTCGAAGACGTCGACGGCAATGTCGGTGTTCACGTGGTTCAACATGCCTACCTCAGAGAACGGCAGGGAGGCTCTAGGCCAGAGCTTTGAGGCATCCGCTTTGCTGACCTAACAGTAGATGGGCCTACCAAATGCCTGAGCAAGGTACCATGAGCGGGAGCGTCTCCAGCTTAATCAGTGCAGGATAGAGCTCCGGGTTCGTCGCCTGGGGCTCTGGGGCAAACGTCTTGCTTGCAGCTGTCGGGCTTGAGCGGTGGTGCGGACAGGCTTTGGGATCATGCGGGTGTAGAAGTTCTGGCTTTCGGAGTGTAAGCGCCAGGAAGACCACAAGGCCTGAAGCGTAAGCTCTACACCGCATGCATACACACTAAGCGAACTGCCCCTGAACCCGAAGCCCCGGCAGAAAATTGCCGCCAGAAGCACGACAAGGGTAAACTTCTTGATCTCTTCATCAAGGTCCACCTGAGACGGCTGTAGGCTTCTTGCTATGGCTTAAGACAGGCTTTGCTTGAAAGCTTTGACCGAAAGCTGGTGCTTCTTCGTGCAAGACATGGCTGGGTTTTCGGCGGAACCGGCCAAACTCTCACCGGCCTCGCTCTTCAGGAACTTGTCGGGATCATCCGCATGCCTCCAACGCGTGCCGTTTGTGTAAGTTTTGCGAACCTCTGGTGTACCTCAAGCGAAAACCCGAGCCAGCTGTCCGCTTCCTGATGGGAACCAGGCATTCAGTGGTTCATTCCAGCCGAGAGGCTTAATCCTCAGCTCCCGATTCACCTTGACCTTGCGCTCGAACTGCCTGGGATCCCGGGAAATTTTGCAGAAGACCTTCGACCCATTTCTCCGGTCGAAGAGGCGCTTGCCTGCTAGCTGCGACCACATCAGGGCCTCAACATGTCCAAGCTGCAAGTGCATCCGTTTCAGCGCGGTCTCGTTCAGGGTTTCTACCTGGATTCGGAGATGTTGTTTTTCCATCCCGGCGGGGGAAACTGCAGTGCCCGAACCAGGGGCCCTGAGACTGTTCTAGGCTAGGGTTCAGGTTGGGGCTTGGGGTACGTACACGCTGAGGGGCCTTATCAGCCTTAGCATCTCTCCCTCTCGAAAATGCAAGCGCCTCCACTAATATCCCAACTAGCACAAGCGGCAGGGACACACCGCCTCGCCTCTCTCTCACTCTCTCTCTCTCTCTTGCTTCTGTCTCTGCCTCAATGGCTTTCCCTCACTCTCCCCTGGGCCCCCGGGCATGGAGCTCATCTGCCTTGTCAAGCCTGGGCCATCGCGAGAGGAGACCGGAGCTCGTGACAGAGCAAGTTTTGGGCCCTGCTGATTCGGTGGGGCCTGCGGCTAAGAATCAACCCCTCAGCCCCCATAATCATGGCCCAGAGACCGAGACCCATCCGTATCAAAGCCTGCTGCTGCACAAGGCTAGTTTTGCTGAAACGGCCTACCGGGCCTACCGATCTTCGGCTTCACCGTCCCAGGAGCATGTGCTGGATGTCCTCCCGGGAGACCTCGTCCGGGAGGTCGTCGCCCAGCCTTGGTGCGCTCCAGCCCTTCCCCCCACGCATCCGGAAGGTGTGCACCACACTTCTCATCGAAACAGAGGCCTTCCTGACACAAACATGCCCCCGAAACGCGGGCAAGTCACCTCAAGCCAAGGTGTTGCTACGTGCTTGCAGGTCTAAGGCGATGAGGGATTGGGAGGACCCACACGTGAGCCCTGAACCAGCAGTGTAGTGTCTGATTTCTCCGGGTCACTGTAGGCGTTTGGGTGCCGGTTCATCTTTCGGTGCTGGCGCTTTTCCTTGGCTGTGCCAATGGACCAGAGCCAAGATCTTCTCTGCCGAGGGGCTCCTAGAATTTTTACCGAACCCTACACCGACAATGGCGTGAAGCCGAAAACTCACGAGCCACAAATGCGACTAGGCTGTAGGAGCCCAACAGCGGAAACCCAGAACCCAAGCTGTCGCAAACCTGAACAATCCTACAGCCCGAACCTGCATCCCATGAAGATATCAAGTGTTCCAAGGCTGGCAGTGTCAATGTGTGATGCCTGGATCTGATCATCTTGACCTCGAAACTCCAAGCATTGAGATCGGCGCCACGAGCCCTCAACCCCAAGACGTACATTAAAAGTTCTGAACCCTGAACTCTGCAACCCTCAACCCTGAAACCCTATTCATAAATCATGATAAGCCTTATGCCCTCAACTCGAGCCCCAACTGCCCGATTGGAAGACTCGGCTCGCTTCACCGGCACCGGCGGCGGCCGCATCTCGCCGAGACCGGCCTTGGATCAGGGGTTCATGAGGCTGATTCTTGGCCCTAAGGGCCCCCAGTAGATGTCTAGTAGACTTCAATAGAACTCCAGGAGAGAAAGCCTTGATTGCTTCTGGTTAGTTACTTGTGGTGTAAAGATCTAGGGCTTCTGCATCCTGCATCCGCTATAAATGATGCAGGCACCTAGCCAGTAGCATTCCAAGTCATGCTGCAGCTGAAAGCACGTTTTCCACGAAGGCTTTGTCCATGCTGTGTTTCAGAGACTCGTGTGATGCCTGTGTCCGAGGCCGTTCAAAAGCGCAACACAAAAGAGATTGAGTGAAAAAATGACGTCTGGCCGTATCGAAAACTGGGGCACGGTCGCACCAACTCCCTCGGGGGCCCGGGTTTTATTTCTTCGGGATGCGTGCGCGGAACGGGATGTGTGTGCAGAAGTTCAGGGGGAGCCAGGGCGGCTGACCCTCTTCATTGCCAGACGACCACTGCCATCAACAGGCTAATTGCTGCTGACTGGCCTAAACAGCCTCGCAGTTGTCACAGCTTCACATCGTGCGACGCGACATGAAATATGCTAAAGGTTGAATGTCTGAAGCCTCTTCGCTCAGAACTGCTTCTCCGTGACGCCGGCAGACATGATGCCGGTCGAGGAAAGTCCGCCGCTGACGATGTTGCCCATCTCATCCACAATTTCAGAGCCACTCCACTTCTGGTGGGTCAGGGTCTCAACCTTGTGCTCACGCTCCTTGCGCTGGATCATCTGCACATACGCGGCCGCACCTCGCTTGGAATACTCCTTGGCGAAAAGATCGATGCTCAAAGCATCGCAGTGGAAGCCGGCCAAGGTGATAAACTGCCAGCAAAAGCCGAGCTTGGCGAGGTCCCAAATGAAGGACTCCATCTGCGCATCGGTCATGCCGGCGGTGTCCCAGTTGAAGGACGGGCTCAGGTTGTAAGCAAGCATCTGGTGAGGCACCGCTGCGCGGACCTCCTTGGCGAACTGCGTGGCCTGCGCAAGGATAGGCTTGCCGGTCTCCATCCAGATGCTGTCGGCATAGGGGGCGAAGGCGATGGCACGCTCAATGCAGAACTCGGTGGAGCCCTTGATTCGGTAGTAGCCCTCCACGGAGCGGGCGGCATCCCAGTCGAAGTAGATGTCCAGGCCCATACCGGAAGCCGCCTTCTTCATCTGGTCCATAGACATCTTGCGGGAATCCTGCAAGAACTTGGCAGGGTCCTGGCCCTTGGCCTTCATGGC